TATTGGTCCACCCCTCTCTGTGTCCCAGCCTCACCCCCCATCTTCACACCTCACACGGCCTGGGACTCCTGTGTAGCCCTGGAACTCGCTCTGTAAACCAGGCTGGCCTCAAACTCAGAGATCTGCTTGCCTCTGCCTCCAGAGTGCTGGGGAATGATGTGGGGATTGGGTGGAGGGACAAGGGAGGAGGGGTGGGAGAGGGAGCTGGGTTCTTTTAGTGAGAGCCCTAGCAAAGAGTGGAGGGAGGAGCAATGTGATGGGTTTCTTAAATCCCTGCTCCCTGCTGTGGCCTTGAAATAAGTGGAGGGATAATGCAAGTCAGCCCTGTAACCCTGACTCTGCTCCCACTGCTCCTAGTTAACCCACAATCACTGCAAAGGTGAGGAAATCGCTCCTCAACCTAAGAACACCTCGGAGATTCACATTTGAGACGGCAAATCGGTCACTGAGGGAGATGGACTGTCCTTAAAGTTACACCCGGCCTCTGGCTCTGTCAGCAGCTGAGCAATTAGACTATTAAAGTATAAAAGCTTGCAAGTATTATACAGAAAATTAAAATGTTCAGTAAGGTGACATTGAAGGCATGTTGACAGTCTGTACCACTTGTTAGTATTTAGGCATTTGTATTGACCTTCCCTTGGGGTTCTGACAAGATACATCTCAGCCGCAGCCACTAAGAGCTACATCACCTGTGCCTAGTCACCGTGTTCCCTTTTAAAAGGGCCCTGCCCACCTCCCATCCCCCCTTTGTCCCTCTCTCCCTCCCTCCATCTGTTTTTCTCTCTTCTCCCTCTCCCCCTCTCCCTCTCTCTGCCCCCTTTTCTTCTCTCCTGCTGTTCCTGCCCCTGGAGGCCAGTCTCTTCCTTCCCCTTTCTCTTTTTTATGATGCCTTTTCCTAATAAAAACCTTCTGTTTGAACTCTGTCTCATGGCGTCTTTCTATCTCAAGCCCCTCTTTCTAGATTACAATACCACTTCCTTGTTGGGATGGTGTGTTTCCCCTCACATTCAGTTGTCTTTTTATCATCTCCAGGCGGCAGTGATGGCTATGAGTCCTAGTAACCCAAGACAGTTAAGTCCACTTCCTGCCAGCATGTCCAAACTCAGTCTGTTGCTCCCAATTATAGACTTGTCTGTTATTTTGGGGCTCATATCTGAAGCTTTCCATGAATGAGTCTCTGAGGGGGCCAGGCCCACCCATCTGTGTTTGCCTCTGTCTCTCTGGGAGACCTCTTCCTAGTCAGCCTTCAGGAGACTGCACCAAACCCGGCATGGCATGCTTCAGGATCCCTGAAATTGTCTGGGCAATGGCTGGAGTATGTATGGCCTTGTCTGGGTGTTATCCTTAGGGCCTGCACTGAGAATCTGAGCTCTGCCCCTACACCACATCTTCTCTGCTCCAGAGGTCTCTCCTCCATATCCACCCCCAGTTAGAGTCTCTATGGCACAGACTGTCTCTCTGGCTGTCAAGGTGACAAGCTGTCCTCAGCCTGCCAGAGATTGGAGCATCATGGTACAGCCTGGTCTTCTTGTTTCATTGTGGAGGTAAATCTCGCCTGTGTTTATTTCTTTTGTCTTCAGCTCTTTAGGGTCTACTGCTTTTTATATTGTTACTTCTGTCCTTCATATGGTGTTACAGAAATAGATAGCATCTGCCATATTACCCAGAAGTGATAAACACTTATGATTGTTTTTAATTTTATTTACCTTAAAGTAAGGTCTTATACACTCCATTTGTCATGGAAATGTAATGGAGTATATATAACTATTAGCTAGTCCTCTGGGTTTGGATGACTCAGCCTCAGTAAATAATTTCAAACAAGGAATGCATTTTAAAAGTGTCTGTAGTGTTTATAGTAATGTAATTTATAGCTATAAAAGTTCCCAAGAACCTACTGTATATCTGAAGCTTAATAATCCACTTAACAAATTATGTGAACATTAGCATAATACAATGACAATTGTCTGCATACATGGAGAAAGCAGAATGAAACTGTATTAAATGAATATAAGCACACCTACAATGTTGTACACTTACTTGGAATCCAATACGTACTTAAAAGGCTAAGTAGAAACTCTTCAGTAAAGCACCCTGTTTACTAAATTCCTTCACACAAAAGGTGCCAAGTGCAGGGACTGAACATCAGTTAGTAGCCTGGCAGCCATTTGGGGACTGGTTTCCCGACTAGGGGAGGTTGTAAGCAAAACTGCTAATCTGGTCGCTGTCTCTGAGTTTGGGAGCGTGCATTCACGGGGGTGGGGTGGGGTTGAGGTGGGGGGGTTGGGGAGGACTTAGCAGCAGTTAAGTGTAATTTGGTTCTGAAGCAGATCTGTGCAGTCTCTAAGGGTCAGAGCTGGGAGCAGTGTGGACAGACTTCGGGTAGACTGAGAAGCTTCTGAGAACACAACACATGTTTCCTTAGGGTAGCTGGGTAGTAAGGTCAGGTACTGTGTACCAGGTCCAGGTCTGCACAGCTGCAATACTCAAGACCCCCCAGAGCCTACAGCGTACCTGCAACTACAATTCCTCAGGGGTGAGAACCGGACTATGATTCCTTATATTGATAATTTCCCCCCCCCAAACACAGAGCAGTAACAATGGGGTGGAGGCTCCAAGTAAGACCCTAGTAACCTTGAGGCGATGAGATGTTAAGGTAGCAGGTGGGCGTGGAGCTGACCCCTGCCTCCAACCCTGGGCCTGTGTGCTTCCTCCAGGTGTCATCAGGCTTCATACAGAAATGTCTGAAAACCAGGCCTTCCTAGACTCATCCATGCCCAATGAGCTACCCTGCTAGTGTGAGCACAGGCATATGTTACTTGTGTTAAGTTCCCCTTCCTGAAGAAGGACCACAGAAGTTATTGATAAAGACACCTATGACACACAGTGCCACTGAAGATGAGGCCTCTCTGTAATTGTGCAGACCAAGGCCTCGCAACACTGTAGGAGGTTGAATCAACCCTCTCCGGTTACCAAAGCTTTAGATAGGAGAAGTCGACAATGGCAGCTAGAAGATGTAAGTAACCACATTTTTTTGTTTTGATGTACTGCAACTTTGAAGGACTCTTTTATCCATGTTGTACATTGAATTTTGAGTTGCAAATGAACCATGGGATGTTTGGTTTGTTCTCAGAGGTCAGGTTAGTTCACAGCAGTTGTCTCTGGCATTTGGAAAATGGATTTAAAGACAGAGGTAATCTCTGTGGCATGAGGGAGCCATGTACCTCTCATACAGTAGATGCCATGGTCTAGGACCTTCAGGGCATGGAGACAGAGAAAGGGCTGCAACCGGAGAGTGACAGGATCTGTGTGTCAGGTCCAGCCAACCTCCTCTCCTCTTGTATCCTACACCGAGACTAATTCTCCTGGGAGTGACTGTAGCGAGTCTTAAAATAATCTTTGTTAACCAAATCCTACTTAGCAAACTTTTCAATAAGCTTATTAGTTCCCACAGCCTGAAGAGCAGCTAATAGTGCTGTGATTATAGTGCACACTTATGAAATTTGACCTGCCAGGGGAAGTGCTTTGTATTGATTACTTGATTAACACAACAGTCCCAAAAGAAATGTATTGTTGACAACCTCATATGCAGAGGAGGAACCAAGGCGTAGAGAAGAGGCTTGGCATTGCTGTTCAGAAGAGGAACATGGTCCCTCATCAAAAGAAAAGCTGTATGATGCCCATGACAAAGATGCACACAGGAATGTAGCATGCATTCTTCCTGCTACCCTGGTCCCAGAGCTGCATCAGTCCCAAATGAACATGCAGGACACCATATTAATTATGAAGCTGTTGGCCATTTGCTATGTTGTCTTAATGGCTAACTCTGACTTAATTATTAATATAAATTTTTATAAGGTCTTATCTTACCGAGGACGCAACCTCATGCATCCCCTCATCCCGGGATGACATGGCAACAACCCTCTACCCTTGACTACATTTCCCAGAATCCTCCTTGACTCATAGTCCCACCTATCTTGCTTCCCTATTGGCCAACAGTGCTTTATTTATCAACCAGTAAGACAATATATACACAGAAGGACTTCCCCCATCACAGGAACACCAGCAGTTGGTGTCCTTGGAACCATGAGGTGTTTCTAGGATGTGAGATGTGCATGTTTGGGTGACTGTCAGGCAAATAGGTTTAGGACTCTCTTCACATTTTCATCTTCTTATCTCCACACTGGGATTTTAAAATCAAACACCTTCTAAGGCAAACAAAAGTTTCTGATACTTGGACAGTTCAGACACCAGACAAGTTTTGTTCCCTTGCAGTGAGCATCTCTCCAACTCTCTGGACACCAGCAAGATGCCTACAACTCAGCTGCTGCTCTCCAGTGTTTGTGGCTGCTTAGCATGCTGTCTTATTCCCCATGCTCTATATTTGTTCCCTCCTCATGTACTAGGGTAGTCTCCTTTCTTACTCTTACTCTGGGTTTGGCCACTTGATTTGCTTTGCCAATAGGATGAGCCAGAAATGACAAGGAGCCAGTTCCGAGTCAAGCCTTTCAGATGGCCTCCATCCTGCCCTTTGGCTTCTGGCATTGCCATGGTGAGCATCATGCCAGCGCAGGCTCTCCAGCTGGTTTATGGAGGAGGACGAGGGATGATGGAGCAGAAGTGCCCTTCTCAAGGTTGTCCTGCAGGCAGAAGCCTGAGCACAGCCCAGGCGAGTTGATCCCACTAGCCTTTAGTGACCCCAAAGCCAGACTGAGAAATGACTGTGCTCTAAGACGCTGTATTTGCTAGTAACAGTCATAGCAGCTAGCACATTGTTTATAATGAATGGTGGTGTTGCTTTTACATATTCCCCATATATGGCTGCCCATGTTAGAGGGCACCTCCCTGCTCTAACATTTTACATACCTTATTTATGGATAGCCATAACCGGTAGTCTCATCACACATAGAACAGTGACCAGGACCACAGAAGTAGGCCTTCTCCACTCACACGACACCATTCAATAAGAGTTCACAGGGTACCAGTCTGTAGCCTTCTTTTTATGAACATGTTTATTGAGCTTATAAAAATATAATAAATTACATAAACACAATTACATAAAATATTCACAATTATGACTTCACTGGCTAAGGGCCTCAGACCTAGCCTGGGTGTTTACTAAATACCTTTAAGTACTGAAAAATAATGGCAGTCTCCAGCCAAAAATGGCAGCATGGAGTCCCAGCACTGGTCAGTGAGAATCATTACCATTTCATTGGTTCTGATCTCTGCAGCATAGGCAAAGCTCGTTGAAGCAAACCCTGCCTGGATCTATTGCCAAATAAAGTAAATGACAAAGGGACCAGCTCCCCTAAATCAGCAAGCTGCGAATCAATGGAACAACACGGATGCTGGCTGCCCTCAAGTCTTGAAATCTAAGAGGGTGAGCTGAGGCCAGCCCACACTGCCGCCTGCAGCTGCCCATTCTTCACCAGAGCGACAGTCGGGAGGAGAGGAGCCTGCTGCTGTCCTAGCCCTGCTCACTCATCACAGATGACAGTTACAGTCTAATTAAGAGGAAGCTCAACATCATTACTGAAGACCAGGATAAGGGGCACTGCAGGATCTCGAGGAGGAATTAAAAGGATAATTAAACAGACTATTTAACTTGCAGGATACAAGAAATACCTTCTTTAAAAAAAAACAGCAAAAATGGACACAGTAAAATGATCATATTAAATATTCAGGACCTAATTATAGTCCTCTCACAGTATGTTCTATATTCAGTGGTGGGAAACTGCTTGATGGCTTTAAACATACAACTGACTCCCACCCCAAAAACTTTCGTTCTGTCATATGACTTGTAATTAAAAACAAAAACAAAAGCAAAAAAAACCCCACAGCTTTCTAAACCAGAGGCTGTTCTGTAATTTATCAATCACTACAGTGAGCACTTCAGGAGGGAACCCAGCAGCCAGCTGGGCATTAACCCCCTGGCAGGAAAGAGAATCTGCCAAGAGCAATTCCTCTTTATAAGCTTCCTGGCTGTAAATGCTCTATCCTATGCCCTTACACAAGAATGCCCGACATGAGTTTCCCTTTCACTCCCATTCTGTGTGACTGCCCATAATGTATTTACCCCCATGGAGGCTTCCCTGGCCTCGCCTGTCTTCTGCTCACCTGAGCCTTAACTTTCCCGACTGCAGACATGAAGACCAAGCTCTCATTTGCAGAAGAGAAGAAGCCCAGTCTGGGGGAGGAGACGACAGTTCCCTGGGATGACTCCACCATGGCCAGGATTCCGGCCCCTAGGTGTGTACTGCCCCTCAGGCTTCACTATCCCTCACTGGCTCAGACCGCTGTGTCTGAACTCCCACAAGCCTCATCCACGAAGCTTGGCTGTTTCTGGAGTCTAGAATCAGGCATGGACAAAGGAAGCCACGCCATTTCCCTTTCTAGAGAGAAGTCACACCTGTTTGAAGTGAAAACCTGACACATTGTAACTGCTGTGTCTGTGAGTAACACTGGAGGCCAGATCTGCCCACACTTCTGTTTGGCTGGGCAGACATGATTTGTGTGTCAGTGACACACCCCAAGTGCTTCCACTAGTGACGGCAAGGCTTATATCATTGTGGGCAGCTGCAAACACAGGTCAAGTTGCCCCTGAAACCCTAGAGCACACCAACAAAACGCTCATTCTGAAGCAATGCAGAAAGTGGGCTGTCTGCATTTCGTAACCATTTTCCTAAAACCTTCATAAGGATGTCCCCATTTTTCAACTCCATGAGAAGCCATCATCCTCCTTAGAACTCTTGCTACATTTTCTTAGCATCCCTCCATTTAGCCTATTTGCTGTTCTGCTGATATGGTCTGTAGCATACCCTCTGTCTCCCTCTTCTAAGTGTCTCCTTAAAGGCAGGATCAGATTCTTCACCTGTGTCATCCCCACATGTTCATTTGTGTGCTCAACAGGCTCCTTAGGGTAGCCTAAGGAATACAGCAACCCACCAGGAAAAGCCTTGAGTCTTGGCAGTCCGATGGCATCGCTCACAGCTGCAGTGGCCTCATTGGATCCCCAACAGGTACCAGGGAGGACAGTCCAAGGCACTCGCCTCAGGATGCAGCTGGGGGCGGGGAGGCAGGTGGCACAACCCCAGCCCACTCCAGTATGTCTGCACACAAGGACTCCACAGCATCCAGCCGCTCGATCTGCACCAGCTTTGTGAGCAGCTCGGGGATGCTGTAGCCTGCGGTGCTGATGCGGTCAAAGAGCTGCATGCCATCAGTCATGCCCCCAATCTCATCCCTCTTCAGTCCAAAGCTCTCGGCAAGGTGGCGCCACGTTTTCACGACCGCCTTCTCAGAGTTGTACGTGGAGCTGAGCATCCGGCTTGTCTTCTCAAGGCAATCAAAGGGCAGCTCTGTGGGGCTGAGACCTAGGAGAGGGCAGTCACAGTTATGTGTCACAAGCCGAAGTCAAGGGGAGCTCAGTCTCAAAGATCTACCAAGTGTTTAAAAGGAATTGGCCTAAGTTCTAAATGGTCTCCTCCAGAAAATAGAAAAGAAGGAAAGATCTCCCACTCTGACACCAAAAACCAGCATCTTTAACAAAATATTAACAAATAGAGTGCAACAACAGAACAAAAGAATTATGTACGATGATAAGTTACATTTATTCTAGGGGTATAATTCTGGTTCCAGTACTTAAGAGTTAATGCGAATTTTATAAAAAGTCCAGAGCTAGCATTGTACTTAGTGGCAAAAGCTGAGTGTTTCCTTCAGAGCAGGAGGACCTGGACTCTGCTCTCAGTGCTCATACCAAAGCAGTGAAGCCAGAAAAGAGAAGAAAGAGTACACAGAGACATATCTGTCCCATGTGCAGATATGATTGTCTGTGTAGAAATTTCCAAGGATACTCAAAAACTCCCATGACACAGACATGCTTAGCAACCCAGATGACTCTCTGCTGAACTATGGTATGTGACACCAGTTAATCACTGAGTATGTACTGTATGATTCAACTTACAATAATATTTTAAAATGTGTCTCTTACATATCTGGGTGTTTTGCCTACATGTATATCTGTGTGCCTACAAGTATGTTTGTGTACCATGTGCATGCAGTGTCCACAGAGGCCAGAAGAGGGCATCAGATTTCCTAGAAATGGAGTTCCAGATTGCTGTAAGCTGCCATGGAGGTGTTGGGAATTGAATCCCAGTTCTCTGGGAGAGCAGCCAGTGCTCTTAACCACTGAGTCATCTCTCCAGCCAAAAATTGTCTTTTATAGTAGTCTTGAAATGGTAAAATTGCAGCAAAAGAGAACAGATTAGTAGTTGACGGGGCTTCGGGTGTGGGCCTGGGGAGCAAGAGAAGCCTCTGTGGTTGAAGGGGTCACTGTCTACATCAACATCTTGGTTATGACTTTTATGGGGTCTGTCAGCTGTCCACATCAGGAAGAGGTGGGAGAAAAGCACACAGACTTTGCTCTATTACCTCTTAGCACTAAGTGGTAAGAAGCCAGATGTGGTGGCTCACACCTTTAATACCAGATTTCTATGAGATCAAGGCCAGTCTGGTCTACAAAGTGAGTTCTAGGACATCCAGGGCTATTGCACAGAGATACTCTGTCTTGGGGAAGGAGGAGAAGAATACCACAATAAAAATCTTTTAGAAGAATTGGAGGACTTCGGTGTCTGGGGCTTACCCCATACTAACCACACTGGGATCTGGAGGCAGGTGGGGTGGCTGGGTAGGCAGAGGTAGTGAGTACTCAGGTCTTCATGTGATTCTAATGGTCCTGGGAGCCAAGCCACGCTGGCTTGAGGGATTCCACCTTGGCTGTGTCTTATTACTGTGGCACTAGGAAGCACACATGCCTGGGCTGTTAAGGAGCACCTGAGGGCACAGGCTTGAAGCTTCCACCCTACAGGACCCACTGGAGGCCTCTTCTTATGGTTGAAGTCCTAAATTAATGTGAAAGCCACAGTCCCATGGGCTTGGTCCTTCAAAGCCAAGACATTCTTTGGAACAGAGAGGAGCTTTGGGGGTGCTGGAATGTAACTCCTAGACCATATTCTTCTGGGCAGCCAACAGCACCCACCATGCCAAGCTTGATCAAGCAGGCTGACCAGGCATGTACTTATGGAGCCATGCCATGTTGCTGAAGGCAGCCAAGAAGAATTCTTGGCCCTGGAATTCCCACTTGGTGGTTACTTCTGGCCAAACAGAGCATCTAACCAGCCTGCCCCAGCTCAGGGCCTGCGCTCTGCCACACGGGACATGAGTAGCAGGCAGCATGTGACTCTGCAGTCCCACAGTTCAACCAGACCAGAGGTGTGTGGAGGGATGCCAGCAAGGCGGGAGGCAGGAAAGCCCCCTGACATAAGCAGTGAGGGGTTTATTTCCTGGGTGAAGAGAAGTTAACTTAGGGTCTGGATTTTGTAGCAGCTAGGAGGATTACAGACTGGAATGTTTATGATTCTTATCCTGTTGCTGCTTACCTGCCCACTGCAGGCAGTCTGACCTTCCTGCTCACGTGGCTGCTCTGGAAGGAGGCGAGAGCCCTCCAAGGCCAGTTCAGCGTGCCTGTGAAACTGTTTCTAGGCACAGCCATACCCTGCATGATGACGGTTCTGTCAGTGACAGAACGCACTTGCTCTGAAGTACACCTACTAATGCCCCAGCCATCTTAGTTTGTGATGGTATGCTGGATACTGACACAAGGACAAAATCTCATACCCATGTCTTTCTTAGTGCCCCCACTGGCACTGACTACTGAGTGTCATCGTACATTCCCCTGATGACAATGCTGGTGTGGACACAAGCACAGGAACTATGGGTACCCACCACTCTGTCCACATGTGTTACTGCACCAGCATAATACTGGGAGTCTCTTGTCCTGTGAGGGAAGCACTGTGGGGCTCAGCCTAAGTCAGGAACCAAATTCCCTTTCCCTCCACATCAGAAGCCAGTTCACTTGGCCATTCTGAGGGGGGCCTGACAGCCCCCATCAGATGTGGATGGCTGTCCTCAGTCCTTCACATAGGAGCCTAGAATTGGGGGTTCTCATCTCCCGGAAGTGTGCCCTGAATGGCTTTTTTTAATTTTTGTTTTGTTAAGATACAGTCTTACTATGCAGCCTTGGCAGCCTGGGACCTGCTATGTAGACCAGGCTGGCCTCGAACTCACAGAGATCTGCCTGCCTCTGCCTCCCGAGTGCTGGGATTGAAGGTGTGCACTGCCACAACCAGCTCTGAATGGTTCTCTAGTCCTTACCTTCAACAACACCACAGACGTTGGCATATACATCCAATATCTTTTTCCTTCGGCTTTGGATCTACGAAGAACAATTAAGAGAATGTTCATCTTCAGAAACGGGGAAGATGGTAGCAAAGCCCCAGATCTTCCCTTTGCACTGGCTTGGCCATGATGGCTAGGCATACTTGGTGTCCCAAGGCCTTAGGTAGAAGCAGCCCAAACATATCAGGAGGAAGAATGTCCTGTAGGGCTTCCATGCAAACACTCTCTGTGCACAACAGGGGTGCTACTGGGTTTAAAGGGACACCAAGGCTAGAGCTGTCATCAGTGTGTTTAGAAGGTTGACAATGAGGGTCCCAGATAGCCACCGGGTCAGCCGTGCGTGCAGCGGCTAACAGAGCTATGGCATGCTCTCTTCCCCAGGGCAGAGAGCTCAGGGCAAGGACAGGCAATGAGTGATCCTGGGTGAAGAGACCATGCCTGCGGCAGGCAGCATGGCCTCCAGGTATTTTAGCGAGATCACCGCACCTAGAGTGAAGAATCCTGCAGGACCAGGCCAGATCTAGGATCCCTGTAGGGTCTTTCTTCACTACCAACAGTGTTGCCACATGATTTGGCTGGGCTACCTGAGGCACAGACTAAAAGAGGAGTATATGCCCAAACCTCAGAGCACACCCTGTGCCACAGGCATTCCAAAGTAGCTTGCTTTAGTGATAAAGCCCTCTGGATAATTTGTACAAGTGAGCCTACTGCTACATAAGAGAATGTGTGTGTGTGTGTGTGTGTGTGTGTGTGCGCGTGCGTGCAAGTACACGTGTGTGCCTGTCTGTCTGTTGGTCTGCATGTGTTTACATATATACTATTTCTTGTTTCTAGAACCTTTTAGGATTTCAAAGCCTATGGTTGCTCAAGACTACTACGTAAAATGTCTATTTGCATAGATCCTAGTCACGTCGTCTCATATACTTTAAATCATCTTCAAATTATTTCTAATAATTAACACATGAATTGTTTTACAAATAGTTACTGCATTTCCTAGTTTAGAGAATAATGACAATAAGAAGTATGCATGTTTAGAACAGGCAGAGTTTTCTTTTAATCTATGCTGAGTTGACTCGTGGATTCAGAACCTACAGATACACACACAGGTGTGTGTGTGTGTGTGTGTGTGTGTGTGTGTGTGTGTGTGTGTGTGTGTGTGTCTTGTAATTGCTTGAATATGCGCAGTATGTTTTGGAAGCTTTTCCCCCTGTTTTCTGGCATTTGCAGTGATTTGAGAAGAAAACTTTTCTCTTTTGTTTGTAAGCAGTATAATTGAGATTGTTTTTTAACCTATTGCTTTGTGCATTGACCTAGCTGGGACCTTTGGGAGAAAAGCATCCTAAGGAGCTTGTTCAACGTGAGAGATCTTGTCTGATGGCTGTAAGTCACTGCACCAGTGTACCACAGGCCAAGCTGCCAGAACCTCACCCCAGCAGACTTGTTACTGGCTGCAGCCTTCTCCCTGGCCAGGTGAACTAGCGACAACAGGCATAGCTCTGGGGACCCTTGCTTGTCCTGGGCTGGCTCCTCATCACTGTCCACACTGCGACTCAGCAACTGCTCGTTCTCAGAGGAGGCATCGTTCTCACTGTGGACACAAGCAGGACACCTGTTAGTGGAGTCTGGGAAAGTGCAGCCAGGATGAGCTGCCTCAGTGCCGATCTTGTTTTTCCAGGTATGCAGAGCATTTTACGATACCTTGTTCCTTAAGTATTTCCTATATCTCCTGAGCTCTAGGTGAGAGGACCTGAGGGGAGAAAGGGACATTCTGTCCCCTGACAAATGAGCCATTCTGGTACAGAGTGGCCTGCAGGTGTTTGCATGGGGCTCCTAAGGAGCAGTGGGGTCTGAGAGGCTGGGTACACCATCAAGGGCTGCATCTGACATCTCTCCACACTGCCTGACACCATGGCTGCTTGGTAAAGATTCACTGAGTGTGTTCTAGATTCTTGTACTTAACCCCAGCAAGGTAAGTACAACCGTGGGTCTTCGTGTTAAGTCATTAATATTAGATGACTGGAACTTAATCCAAGCAGGGTTACTAGAATAGCCAGGAACACACAAAAAAGTGCACCTTAATGTCAGGGCAGGCCCTCTTGACTCGTGGCCTGCCCTTAGACATATGCCTTGTGGATGCTCCAGGGAGCCCCAGAGGGTGGGCAGGGTGGATGATCGCATGCATCCAGCCTCAAGTGCTACACCCTGCTCATTGCTCACGTCACACAGGACTGGCACCTGTGGGTTAGAGCTTAAACCCTCAAACCATTCAAAATAAAAGCAAGACAATATTCCTTTTGCAAAGCACTCTGTTCACTTCTCTGGTTTAGCTAAAGACCTTTAGAAAAAGGGATTATGTTTACCACACATTGTATTTGAGTGTTACCATTAGCAGGGAAGGCCATATGCAAACACAGCCCTGGAGCCACATTAAAGAGAAAAGAAAAGAAGAAAACACAAGCAGTTATGAAACCATCTAACAGAGCCACTGTGTCATTATGCTTGAGGGCCTTTGAGAGAGGAGGCTAGCCCATCCCTTCACTAACTCTGGCAGGCAAGTGGAAATGCATGATGGTATCGTCACAGATCACCACAGATCACCACATAGCTCCCAAGTTCCATTTCTAAGACCCAAAAGCTGTTTGTAGGGACAAAAAGATTCATGACCTTGTCTTTAGAGCCAAAGTTTAATATTTACACATGCAAAGAGTATATATTTCCCCAAGTAAAGTCCTGAAAATTTTTCCCTCAGAAGAAACTCAAGCCATGGGGGCATATTCTGGTCTGCTCATCATCCCCTTTTTGCTACGTTTAAGAATACAAAACCCTGGAAGGTTGGAAGGGGCAAGCTGGGACCAAATGGGATCAAACCATACTTGGAGCCCTGACTCAGCCTTGGCACCATGTATAGACCACAACTTCCCAGAGTCTGAACAATGACCAGTTAGAATGAAGGCACTGTGGAAACTAAGCTCCTCCAAGGCCTTGAGTAGTTTCACACCTACTACCCTTGTCTAGTGTGCGGAGATGTCTGTGTTGGGAGTCTTGAGAGCATTAGAGTTTTTCCAAATGGGTTAATGCACTAGGCTGGGCTTCCTCCATGCCTGAAGTTTGTCCAGGTTGATAAGTCCTTATTCTCAAGTAGAAAAGACTTGGCAAGAATTCTTGTATCATGGGAAGATCCTGTCTTGGGTCAAGAAGGAGGGTTTGGCACTCTGCTCTTCTGGCAATTGGCTTGGCAACTCTGGACTCCAATTGCAAAGATTGGCACTGGGTAGATGGGACACTTCCCATACGTATCTGTAAAGCCATAGTGCAAGATCCATCATAAAGGGGGTTTCACGCTGCCCTGCTGGGAACTAGTGCTGAAGAGTTGCAAGGACCAAGTCCAAATGACTATGAGGACAATAGGAAATGACTTCCCTCCTAGTTGATTTTTAAAGCAGAGGGGGTTCTATGACCCAGTGTTTGGTAAGTGTATTAAAATACCACCAGGTAAATCTCTTCCCCCAGAGGTTTATTACACCAGGTCTTAATAGATGATTGACAGCCTGGACTTTGGGTTCTAGCTCTGCTGATCACTAGTGAGTGATCTTGATCCAGTTATGGAAGTGCGGATAGCATTAACCTGTTAGTCTTAGGGATGTGACAAGGCCAATCTTAGGCCTGGTGCAGGTGCTGTTGGCCTTAAAGCATTCTATGTATTGCTGCCAGCTGTGAGAACCTGACCAGGATATGTGTGTCATGGGATTCATGTCTTTTTTCAGTTTGAAAAGGATGGAAGGCTCAGGGCATCTGAGAGATTAGGGGTAAACAGAGGGAGCAAGTAGAGAATAGCAGGCAGGTGTAACACCTGCCCCCAGCACACACCAGCTTCTGTAGTTAATGAGGAAACAGAAACTCAGTGCTAGTTTACACTGCCTCTTTCTGTTGGGAAGCTGCGCTCCAACATCCTTGGAGCATCCCCAGGCCACCAGATATCCAGTACATTCACTGATGCAGCTTGCTTGCCTGCTCAAGGACTTATAAGGACCCAGCTGGTAACTCAGTCCTTGGAACTGGGATTGTTCTACCCAGTAGTGAATGTAGGCAAGTCCCTGTTCTACATACCTCTTGGGAGTCTTCGTGGGCGTTGCTGTCAACTTCTGGAATTCACCATTCTCAGGGAAAGTCACCACACTGTCTGTAGGAATGGAAGTTGGGGGGTGGGTGATAATTAGCTGTGGCTCTGAACTTGGATTGCCTGCTTCCTTTTCAGTAGGCATCCCTAATGACCAGTTTCCCACCTGGGAACAGAACAAGTGGGCATAGCACCCTCTCCCAGGGCCATGGAATCAGAGGTGGTCAGGAGACTGGACTGTCACGTTTGAGGAAAAGGGGGACATACTCCATTTTCATGCTAGATACTGTGTGGGGGTCAGCATGGGCTGTGTGTACAGACCTGGAGCCTCCTTTTTCTCTTCATGTGTGCTAGCTGGGGCTTCTGGGCTCTTTCCTGAGGGACTGGTGCAGCAGGCTGCTTGAAGAGAGAGAAAAAGGTTAGCCCGAGTCCCCTGGCTCTCTCAGGGAAGGCGACAGAGTGTTGGAAAAGGGGTATGGGTGCAGGGATGTCACCTGGAGCTGAAGGCTTAGTCTTCATGATGTAGAACATGATGATGAGGACGATAGCGATGGCCATGATGAAGATGGTAGACATGGCAATAATTAGGGCGGTGGCCAGGTGTCCTTGGCCTGAGAGCTCTGCTGGCATCAGGAAGAAGAGGATGCATTTTTTGAGGGCCCCTTTTTCATAGCACCCACCAGCAGACCCAGTCACAGGAATGCTTCCAGGGATGATAATTGGCCCAAGGACCTGGCACTTAAAGTGTGCTTTGCTTTGGCTGTTGGATGCTCCTACACTGTCCAGTGGGCTCACGCGCATTAGACTGGAAAGACTAGGATGTAAAACCAAGAAGCCATTCCTGGGGTGCTTACTCTTGGCTTCACTACTCTGAGGATCCTGAGAGAAAGGTAGCAATGAGGATGAGAGGCCTATGAACAAGTGTCTGGAGACGGCATAGTCCAAGTTTAGGCACTCCCATGCAAAAGGCCACTCCTCAGGCTAGAGATCAGATTCCTGGTTTGGTTTTACTTGGCACCTCATCCTCAGAGTAATAGCAAGAGCCTCGGGGTAGAGAGGGCTAAACTGATCTGACAACTCCTGCTGTTTCCCCTTCTGCCTGGCTGCTGCTTATTCCCAGAGCTGTTTGCTTGGTTCCCTGAATGCAGCTTTGGTATGTGGAATATCCAAAACCTTCCTCTAACTTTCCAAAATAACCAAACAGGACACCTGGTTCCCATGAAGCAGGATCCAAATGACCTGTCACCCAAAGAGGGCGTGACAGGCATCTGGTGCCCTGGGCCATCTGAAGGAGGTGCAGAGAGCCCATTGAGGGTGTTCAGCCTCCTGATGTCATTTGGTGCATCTGCAACACTGCCAGCTGTGGGAGATGCGTGATGTGTGTGTCTTACTATTCTTGGTTGCATGCTGTTCCCAGGTGCCGTGGGAAGTAAGTGGGCTCTGAGTGTGATCATGCGATTCTGTCACATTAGAGAAGTGGCAAGACGGGGAGGGCTCCATGATAATTGCTGCCAGCTGTCCCCTCTCCCTCCTCGGTCCCTCTCAGCTCTCTGAGTTCCAGAGGACCCACATCTAGGCACCCTCCTCACCTTTGTGAGCGTGCTGGAAGGGGGACAAGGTGCTGCCCCCAGAAGTGCTGGAGGAGTGAGCAGAAACGCCAGAGGTGGCTCCCACACCTGCAAGGAGAACACATAACCTCAGAGATCTGACAAAGCACTGCATTCAAAGGCAGGAATATAAGATACTGCAGTGAAGTGAGCCACCCTGGACTCCTGGACTGCACTGCAGGGAGTGGGCAGACAGCACAGATCTTTATTTCTCAGTGTATTTAATGTCCTTCAAAGAGTATTCTGACATCTTAGAAATTCTGTTTTATAAAGGTGTGTGTGTGTGTGTGTGTGTGTGTGTGTGTGTGTGTCTGTGCACCGCATGTGTGCAGGTGTCTGCAAAGGCCAGAAGAGGGCACTGGAGCCCCTGGAACTGGAGTTACCAGTGCTTGTAATCCACCCAGTGGGGGTGCTGGGAACTGAACACCAGTCCTCTGCAAGAGCAGCAAGTGCTCTTACCCACGAGCCATCTCTCCATCCATCGGGGTTCTTGTTCTTTACATAAAAAGATAGCTCTGCCTTGTCCACTCAGTTTTCCTATGAACTGAGACAAACTGTACATTCTGTTTGAAGGATAGCACGTGTCTATGAAAGTGTTTTAGAGGAAATAATGCTTGATTATTTTTTTCAATTATGGAGAGCAGAAATATGTTCTTAATATCTTTTCTGGTCATAAAAGCAATATATCATTCTTACTAAAAATCCGGAAAAATAAAAACCAGAGGAAGAAGCAGAAGGGGCCGGCAGAGCGTTACACTACTACTGTTCTTAGCTGTGGTGTACTTCCCTCTAGGATTTTTCTCTAAGATTCTGTGTGGTGTGATTCTGTGCTGCTGGCCTCATGCCTGCTAGGCAAGCACTGCACCACTGCGCTGTACTCTGAGCCTAAGGTGAGTTTTAAATAGTTTCAACCCATTTAAGAATGGATGTGCTCGCTCTCCCTCCTAGCCATGGCTCATTACCCTCTCTCCACAGGGGAAAAAATGCTGCTAAAATAAATAAATAAATAAAAGGGCAGGTATAGTAAGTAGGGCATGTCTTTAGTCCCAGCACTTGGGAGGCAGAGGCAGGTGGATCTCTGTGAGTTCCAGGCCAGCCTGGACTACAGAGTAAGTTCCAGGTCAGTCAGTGCTACATAGAGAAACCCTGTCTCAATAATCCAGAAACCGGAGTGGGAGGCGTGGGGGGGGGCAAAGAAATGAAAAAGTGTCACTTAGCATGGAGAAAACTGGAAGCTGTTTTGAAATCAGACAAACCACAAATAAGTACTTGTATTTCTCTGATTAATAGCCTTCTTTAGGTCAAATGAGTTTCTCAATTGATAAAAACAATCACCAGTAGTGCAGGCAGAACACTTGCCCATCAGCTGTGACCCCAGCCCTGGAGTGGGGGAGGGAGTTACGTTTTCTTTTCTTTCTCTCTCTTCCTTGCTGCCTCTCAGTTCTGGAGAGGGTCATACAGTAATCCCATGATTCTGAAAAGCAGCTATGAGCCCACACAGGGCCACCAATCTCCTTGAAGTCACGCGTCCTTCCACCCGCCCCAGCCAGCCACGAGAAAACATCTGAAGGGTACACTGGGGTCAGCCTACAGCACCACAGGGCTTCTGGAAGGAGTCAGCAGAGGCGGCAGTCTAAAGAGGTTCTGGGAGAAGCACAGGCCTGTTGTGTGCAAAGCCTCCGCCATGTGGCTTGTGCCAGCCCGGGAGCAGGAACACGGTCACACAGCAGTGGAATGTGCTGCCGCATTATCTGAGTATATACCTGTGGAGAGAGGCCAGGACTTCTGTCTCAGGCCTCAGACCTAGTTCAACAAATAGAGAGATGGAAGAGAACAGTGCGGGCTTGCAAGAGGGTATCGCAGGCTGAGGGCGGGCCGGAGGTGAATCTCTGTGTGTCAGTGAGTGCTAGGTATTCAGAGGGTAGCTTGGCTCTCAACATTAGACAGAAATAGAACAGTGGTGTGGGCCTGGAGGGTAGTCACTTGACCAGGGAGGGTGAGATTTCTCTCTCTCTTTCTGGAGGAAGGCTGGAAGCCTTTCTGTGGCCTTTAGGCTCCAAACTTGATGTTCTACTTTTAAAGTTTATCTTCAGGGATAGCTCTTAGGGAGGTAACTGGCAAGGGAGTTCCCAGTGCTGGTCCTGTCTACATAGCTACGTTCACCTGCTCATCTATCAAATGACAGACATTCAGGCTGTGCCCATTCCTGCTCACAGACCCCCACCAAGTCCTTCACAGGTTGGCAGCTGCTGCAGCCAGCAGAGGAGAGCTCCAGGGTCCTGCCATTTGTACTGTGCAGGGAAACAGCCATCACATGTCATCGGGTGGACTGTCCTGACCAGCTTTGAATGGAATCTAATTTCTTTCCTCTAAAGCAAACAGGACATTGAAAAGAAACTGATCTGTTGGTTTGGTTAGGGGCTTGGGTGAGCTTAAGATATGTGGGCAGAGGAGAAACAAAAGCCAAGGACTGTGTTCGTGGACACCAGCAGTCTTTGTCTTTTCTTGTCCCTTCTTGCTAGGACATGCAGATCAAGGCAGTGACAGGGCTGGGGATGGGGTGCAAACACACCCCGGCCTATGGTCTAGAAAGAAACAATGGAGGTACCGTGGTGAGTACAGACTTATGAAATGCCCCTGTACCCGGGAGGGCCGGTTACGAGACATCGCCAAACACTGGTGCAGGCTGCTACTTGTTAAGGACATCTTCCAGAGCCAGAGATGCTACCTGCTTGGGCCAGCTACGCCTTGCTCTGATACACTGGACAGTCCCCAAACTGAACTCCAGCTGGCATCTGCAGAGCATCCAGACTGTACAGGCGGCAGGAGGTGCCAGGCACTCCCCAGCCAAGGATGCTCTTCTGAGACTATCTGAGAAGGGGGAAGCAGAGGTGAGGTGTGGTAGGAAGGTAGACCTCTCTAAGCCCGGAGCTGGAGCCAAACACCTGCAGCCACCCCTCAGGCAAACTGTTCAGGTCCTCATGGCCTCCGCCCTCTCCTTTCTATGTGATAGACCTCAGCTCAGAGCCCTTCAGAATCTTCAGGGAGACAGACACTTCCCTCCCGGATCCTGCATCAGATGCTGGGGCCTATGTTGGGTGCAAAAGGAGCATAATTACATAGATTCAATCAGGCCCACAGGCCATGCAGGTCCTGAAGGGCAGCAACCCACGGCCTGACGATGGGCTTCTCAGAGTCAGAGCTAGCAAGAGAGAGTGGAGCTGCCCTTTCAGCAAAGAGAGCTGAGGAGACTCGGAGCGACGCAACGCATGGGTGCATGGTTTGGATGTTCTGAGTGACAGCTCTGTTTCAGGCAGGCGAAAAGGCGTGTACTCGATGGGAAACAGCTAAAAACAAATCAAATAGGACCTGCTCTGAGCACAGTAATGACAAAAAGTCACCTGCCTCTTATTTGGTCTCCGTGGTCATCAGTTCAGTGCCCTCTGCCTTCCAGGTGAGGGAGTAGTGAGCTAAGGAGAGCAAACCCTAGTCCTGAGCATCCCCAGGCTGACCTCACCATCATCCCACATCACTGGCACAGAGAACACCAGGGCGGGGCGAAAGGACCATCCAGAGGCAGCAGTGAACGTGCTTTGCTAACTGGCAGGAGGGCACCTGCAGGCTTTAGGAAACAAACACCACTCTCTATTATCCCTAACCCTTGGAAAACACACCAGAATTACAGGTGCATGAACACACTGTATCACGCTAAATAAACTGTGTGTGATGTATGTCTGGGCAAAACTCAGGGAGACAGAGAGAGAGAGAGAGAGAGAGAGAGAGAGAGAGAGAGAGAGAGAGAGAGAGAGAGAGAGAGAGAGAGAGAGAGAGAGAGAGAGAGAGAGAGAGAGAGAACCAGCCCAGAGACCTGCTGCTCTTCACTGTGTACCTTTCATCAGCCATGGGTCTATAAACTATCCCACCTTATAAGGTACTCAGGGCAGGGCACAGAAGATGCCTTGGCATCTGCATTGCCCACCATGGAGGCACAGCCATGGTGCAAGTCCCCCAGAGCAGTGTGCAGGACTCCTGCAAACATACTCTCCCGTGTCGGGTGCACTCTGGTCTGATGTGGTTTGACTATGCAGTATCAAAATGTTTTCCTACTAGGAATATCCCACCCTACCCTGCTCCCCTCACTCCGTCTGCTCCTCCATATCAATATCTTTGGGTAGTCAAGGCTTCCATAGGACCCTGGCTTTAAATGTTTGCTAAAAGCTGGTAAAAAACCGATGTTCCAGATAATGGGCAGATATTTTTCACTCTAGGTCCAACCAGACAAGACAGTAGGGACAGATGTGCTGAGTCCGCTGAATTCCCAGGCTGGCTGCAGGGGCTCAGCTCACCTTCCTCGGGGACTTAGTGAGCTATAAGCACAAGGCTTAGTGAAGTTATACTTCTGTTCAAAGAGATGATGGTGTATAAGGGGCCTTTGAAGTTGTTAATCCACATAATTTATAAATGTGCCAGTGTGCATTAGAGGCTGGCTGGCATTCTCTACAAAGTGTAAACAGTTTGGATTTTTAAGAGTTACTTGGTTCTTAGAGTTGTCAAGGAGGTGCCCCACAGCCCTGGCACTGGCCACACACCCTGGTGGTGGATCCTTGAGCGATGGGTGGAGTCATCAGATCCTCACTAGCTGCTAGAAGAGAGAGGACAGCTTGCTGGGAACACAGCCTTTGCTTCTGCTCAGACTTGCTTTGCCAGACCCTGCTTCTTACCAGGTCCTTGGTGCTGTGTGGCATGCTCTGGTGTGAATAGCGCTATGTGGCATGTTCTGGTGTGAATAGTACTTTACAGAAATGACTGGGTCCTTGCTCCTGGAGGCCAGGGTTTCCTGTTCATGTTCTAAGGCTCACATGAGGGAGTCATGTGTGCCAAGTAGAATCTACTACAGTGCTCTAAGCCACAGCCTAGTGTCCTTTTAACTGGGTGTCCTTCCCAAAGAGACCACACTATTCTTGACTTAGCTCAGGGGCCTTAGCCACTGACAGGTGATTAAACAGAGTTAAACAGACAGATGTGACAGGGCTGGTCCTGCCACAACACAGTGCATCTATTGAATTCTGTCCTTGTCCCTCTAACCACTCTGTCCCAGACGAGCTGTTGAAAGTGCAGGGATGCCATTGTTTGTTGGAGCCTGCTGCCCACTGCCCTGGGACCTCTCACTAGTACGGAAGTGGGTATTTCCCACACACTGTCCATACAGTCCCTTCTGTCCTTGCAGAGGTCTTGTGACACAAGATCTTAGAAGAAACTGAGGTGAAGAGAATGAGATCACTTTCTTAGGTGTGGAAACCCACAATGGAAGCCAAGGGGGATGCACATCTTTCTCCATCCCTGAGATCCTGCCTCCCTCCAAACTCTGACCAACTGTCCTTACAACATAGGCCCCTCTACTTAGCTGTCTGGGTATCTTCATTCTCAGGACAACATGGGCGAAAGGAAATTACAGACGAGTGCATTTTGCTCTTTGGTTTACTGATTACCAGTGCACCATGACAGCAGGTGGCAAAGGAGGCTGAGGCCTAAGCTCTCCCAGTGCTTTAGGGAAGGCTGCCTGCTGTATCTGTCTTGTTTCCAGTGTCAATGTACATATATCATCACCCCAGTATGTGCAAGTATTGCCTCCACTATATGGTAGAGGAAGCAGAAATTGAAGTAGCTCCAAAGATCCCATTGTCTCCATGCTTTAATGGAGATGACAGTCAGCCTGGAGGCAGGACTGACCTGAGCCCAGCATCTTGGCCATCCAGGAACAGTAACATTTAATTCTACTTTATAAGTAAATGCATGTCACTTTCCTCCTAAGGGTCCCTTGATGGGCTGTGTCACAGCAACATAGTAGCACTCTTGTGATAATCTTATGGGAGTGCTTGGTGAGTACGAATCTACCTGGCTGTGGAAAAAGTCTGGGTGGTGGACACCACTGAGTACAGCCTGGCAGGGATGGAAACAGCTCCATGAGGCTGGATAAATACTCTAACAAAGGCAGAAACGGTCTGGAGTTGGGGCCTTTAACCTACACCCGAATGAGAGGCTTAATAAGAATGTGTTTGGGGGCCATCCAGACCCCCTGAGTCAGAGGCAGACCCAGTAACCTGTGCTATCTCAAGCAGATCACGGGAATATGCCAAGAACTGAACTCCTCTGTTTAGGCTCAGAGAAGCAGCTAGTTCTCTGTAAACGTCATTGCAGGCTCAGTCACGTGGGGTGAGGAGACTAGTGGGTACCTTGACTCCCACCCTTCCCGAGGAGACCCTCATGCTGATTCAGGTGTGTAGCTGGACTGGCTGCCCTGCACCTGGCCATCTGCCTGCTCCAGCTCCACTGGGCATGTAGCTGCATCACCAGGTGCCCCAGGGTCCTTGACTCAGAGTACCAAGAATGACAGCTTGGTTCAGCAAGGTCCAGGAAATTCACCTTTCAGGAAGAGGTGCAGCGTAGGCCACCAGCCAGGGATTTCAAGATCCCAACAAAGATGAGGTTTGGCCAAGTCCCTGGCTTTGCTGGGGTGGGGCTATGGACAACAATACTGAGCCTATGGGTCTCCTAATTTCACGGGACGATCTTTATGGGTAGTCTTTCCAGTCACAATGCATCCTGGGTAACACAGTCTCCAGATTGAGCCAGAGTAGAGAAGGGAGTGGAGCTGCTTTATGATCTGAAGGAGGCTGTGATCAGTCAGTGCTACATCTGTTACATCTGTCACAGACAAGCTTCTGGACTGGGCAAATGGATGCCTGGAAACTGGCTTGAAAGGTCTGACCCCAGAGCCAAGACTGGATTATAAAAATCTACAATGAAGCCTTCCTGGGATCTAGCTGTCAGTTAAGCAGTTGAAGAGTAGAGGGAGGGAGGGAGCTCATTTTTGTTTGTTTGTTTTTCAGGGACTCTGCTTGCTTTCCTTCAGGTTGGATGCATATGGTTGGTTGACTCTTCTGACTGCCCAGGCAATTAGGGAAGGGCATGTACCTGTGTGAGGGTCCCTGAAGAGAGCTGCTGACACCTGCCCCCCATTCCCCATAGACAAAGAGCCTTTCCCGATAGGTGGTGCAGTCCTGGTATCTTCCACTCAGGTGAGAACCTCATCCCAGAGTCAGCTGGCATGTAACCCACGTAGATTCCCCAACAGAAGACACATTAGCAGTGGCAGCTGACTTCACCGCAGGTCAGGCTGGCAGCCAGGAGCCCCAGGGCCTGCTCCAATTTGTAAACTAATTAGCATATGACAGGTAGGAAGTTCAGTTTTAAACACATGCAAATCTATTCCAATTGCCAAACTATTTGGAATGCAGAGAGTGGCCTGGCCCTCTGATTTCCCCAACTCCTGGCATCCCTGCCTCCAGGCATCCTGTCCAGTAACAGAGTCACTCTCCTGGACCTCATTAGAAGGGAGGTGACACTCTTCCATTCCGGTCACCCTTCTCCACAAATAAAAGATCATAAGGAGACCAGAAGAAGCAGCCCATTGAGGATTATAAACTCATGAGACTGATAGTGTTATAATCCAGGCACACCGGGTTCCGCCCCTTAGGGACCTAGCAAAGAGTGCCCACCCCTGCACGCATGGCAAGCAGTACCCTGGCTCTATACGAAGGTGCAAAGATCCCTTTAAGAGACAAGCCCCGCCCACTCCTGCTCTCTCTTTCTGCCATCTCTCAGAGGAGGCCGACAGATCTCTGTCTCTTTGTCTCTCTTTTCTCTCTTCCCTTTTCTCTCCCTTCTCCCACTTCCCTCCCTTCCCAATAAAACTTCCATGGAAGTCCTGCCTGATGGTGTACTTGTCTCTTACCCACCATGGGACCCTTCCAAGGTCCCCCTCATGCTGCATTCATAACAGATAGTTGTAATTTGGGGAAGCTATTTCATTTCTTGATAGCTTACGGATATTTCTACATTTCTCATGGTCGCATGTAATTTTATATATAAATGTAAAATTGTCTAGCACTTTATAGTACTTTCTAAATACTTTTGTATTTGTGATCCCCTTAGCTTTCCTAACTGTCACATAAGCTCAATAGATCAGGTCTTGGGACTTCTCTACATGACAGGAGGGGCAACCAAGTGACTCCTTAGAGGCCCTGCTGGCCAAGCTGAGTGACAGACCTGATATCTAAAAGCTCACCCGCAGCAAAGCTAATATCTTGTTTAAGCCTTTGTTATATTGGTCTTAAAAAAACATTTTATTTTTATTTTTATTTTTATTTGTGTGTGTGTGTGTGTGTTAGGTGCCCACAGAGGCCAGGACAAGGCATCAGATTCTCTGAGCTGGATGGTTGTTGGCCCCCTGAGTAAGTGCTGGGAACTGGGCTGCAGTCCTCTGTAAGAGAAACAAATGATGTTGATGGCCAAGCTGTCGCCATGTCCAGCCGCTACTGTGCTAATCTCATCTAGGCATTGGAACCGGCTCCATGGGACCCGGTGGGGATGCAATATTGCAATGCTTTTTTAACATTCTAAGAGACTGGAACTTTTGCTGAACCTCGCAGTCAGAGTTAATAAATAATACGCCATGAGGTCACTCAGGACTCAAGAATGCTATCCTACTGTGTGCTCGGCCTGTTTGTCTCACCTGCTGTAAAGAGAACAACCAGCTTTACTATGTATGTTATGCTAGTTAACACTGAAAACAGCAGAAAGCAGCCTTGTAAAACATATCCACCATAAATGTTGGTACAACATGGACATAGGGTGATAGGTCTGTTTGCAGTGACATTTGCAGTAGTGTTTGTTATGTGGGGCAGCTGGGGTCGGTGACTTGATCCTTTATAAGATTCTGTTAAAGATTTCTGTACAGTTCCCCTCATCCCTTCCCCATGCGGTGCTTTCTGTGCTGTCCAGTACAAGAGAGAGCAAAGCCTTTTGTTAGGGGCACAGACAATCACACACACAGGCACAGGGACAGACAGGTTCACAAGATGACCTTCAGGCAGGAACAGATCCCGACTCACACGACAGACCGACAGGAGATGATGGCAGACACTGGGTGAGGAGCAGAGAATTCAGATCCGGGCTTGCCCTTGGTGCAATTACTCCAAGGGGAAGAACTGACTTCTTTTCCCTAACACAACACTGCATGCATTTTGGGCACTGTGCGGTCACCACTAATGCGAGGAAATGAGACAGAGATTCTGCTGAAGGGCAGAGTACTCACATTCCTTGGTGTTGGGAGGTGCCAAGAGGCAGGAGTAGCAGACCATTCCATAGATGTTCCTGGGTCTGTTCTCCAGCATGTAGTAGCTGCAGGAGACAAAAGAGACAGAGAAAAGGCAGATGAGTGGCAGGGACCACACAGGTACAACCCGGATGTCACTAGGCCATGGCTGAAGCGAGGCATGAGATAGCTTGGTGGGAACTGAGGACCTCAGAGACCAACAGCCCTCCCGAGTTCCTTGGGGGATGTGCAGCCTGTCCTGAAGTGGAACATTCTTTTTCCAGTACTGTTGATTTAGGGCCTGACTTCACATGGCCTCCTCTCTGTGCTCCTTTCCTGAAGGGGTTGTTTAGTGTGTGTGTGTGTGTGTGTGTGTGTGTGTGTGTGTGTTTACTACCTTTAATGACTGCTTTCAGCAGACATGCCTGTGTGCTACCACATGTGGGCACTGGTGAGCTCTCTGGGACTCTCTCACTGTCACCCTTCTCAGAGTCCATTGCTTGGTGGGGTTGTTGGCAAAGCGCCTGTTCGTCCCTGGGACCCCTCAACTGCCTGAGTGGGTGACAGTGCCACAGACAGAAAACAGCTACATTGGTCACACAGGCCAGTGCAGGTAGCCTTGAAGATGACCAGAAGACTTGAAGAAACCAGGTCCTGATACAGCTAATGGCCCCGGGACTAAAGACACCCGTGTAACTATTGAGTTCGCCTGTAGTTGCACTCAGAGGAAAGGGCAAATCACTCAGAGTGACACTGCTTCAAGTCCTGTTCACCCTATCAAGGCACCTGCCACTACCCACGCCCCACCCCTTAAAGAACCATGCTTCAGCGCTCCCTTTATGATAACTCCAGAGATGGAGACCCTCTCTGCTGGTGGATCCACCTGCAGTTGTTTCCTAACCTGTCTCTGATTAGCCCTGCTGACGGCTGTGGGTGGTAAGATGCTACAGGAGGGCGGGCTCTGGACCCCAGCCTGCCTGAGCTTGGACCATTACCAGTAACACCAGGGTTGTAATTGCTTGCCCTTCCTCAAAGCCTTTTATCTTCAGATCCCTGTGTATCTTGTAAACATTAATTAACCAATCTCAAAAACACCCCTCGGAGAAGCCACAACAGTTTAACTGTCAGGCCTTCTGGAAAAAGCTCCCAAACACACCCCTAAGAAGCCATCTTTGTCAGTGAAGCCAGGAGCTACTTAGAGACCAATGGTGATCTACCCAGCGGAGGGGCGGGAGGATGTGGGGGGGCGGGCAGGTGGCCTCAGGTTGCTGGGGCAGCCATGCTTGCAACTTCCTAACATCTCACTCCCAAGCCCACACCATTTTTTCCCCTCCCGTCCGTCCTGCTAAGGCCAGGTAGGTACTGGAGACCAATGAGGGCAAACCTCTCTCATACCTCTCGCCAGATACTAAGGACAATTGTTGGTAAATATTGGCTAGGCAAGTTAATGAATGAATGGCATTATATCCTGATCCACAGTTCCAAGTATTGAGCTGGAGAAAAGCTCCAAGGTATTTGGGGACACCAGCCATCCCCCCTTTTAAAGCGGCAGAGCCACAGACTTGTCTGTCCTGGTTATGTTTGCATGTCGGGCTCTGTCACAGGTAAGGCTCCATAGTCACACACGGAGAAGTAGTACCTTAGATGATTTGCTCTCTGTCTTATTGGTAAAGACAGGGTCTCTCACTGAACTTGTAGCTTATTGATTCAACTAGGCAGACTGGCTAGTGGGCTACAGGGATCCCCCTGTCTCTGTGATACTGGTCGCCACTTCTGACTTTTATGTGGATGTTGGGGACCTGAATTCAGATCTTCATGTCTGCACAGCAGGCACTGACAGAGCCATCCTTCCAGCCCAGAGACCATTTTAAATGTTAGGTTTTTCTTTCAGGACTAACCTAAACTAACCGCAAAGTCTGCACCTGTAGTTCTTTATACAGCTAAACAAGAGTGGAGAACGCTAGCTTAGCAATTACCTTCCAACAGCTTCTTCTGTCTGAAGTAAAGTGTTCATTTAGGCATCTGTGGCCCAGCTAATGTCAAGACCACTTATCTTTCTGCAAAGATGCAATCCCTTACTCTTCAATCCATATTTTGATTTTTCTGTGCAATGCTCCTGGACTTACCGTGAGGTTGTATTCTGATAAGTCCGTTATAAGTTAAAGGAATTGTTAAGTAGAAAAATGCATTCAGTACCCTCAACCCCACACTAGCTGGTAGAGCTGCTTGGGGCGTGCTCGGGACACAACGGTCTGCCTACGGCGGGTCTGCATCATCTAACACAAAGCCTACTTTGTAATAAAGCTTCTCTCATTCAGTGCTCTGGAAGTGAAAGGCAGTGACACATGGGGGCTTACCATTAACCAAGTTAATCCGAACTGAAGCAATGTTTCTCTTTAATGACTAGAAACATCATAGTGGAGAACAATGCTAGGCTGAGCCATTGTCAGCTGGGGACAACCTGAAGTATTCTCTCCTTCTCTCATCTGTTCTTCCTGGCCTAAGTTGTTTAGCTTGGAGCAAAATTCAGTTTAAACAAGGATTCAAGCGTCTTCTATTCAGACTGACTTCCTCTAAGTCGGTAGGAATTTTTTTCTCCCAGCAGATTCTCCTGTCCTGGGACCCAGGCTTGCAGTGGATGCTTATGACCTGCAGACATCTGTGACCTGGAGAGTCCTTTCTCCAGCCTTCCCAGCCCACTGTGTAAAGGCTGGTGTGGGGCTGGCTGCAGGAGCCACACACAGGCAGGGGATGCCAAAGCGGGGGAGGTTATGAAATCTAACCCCTTCCCTCTTGCCTCCTGCTGTCTCCCACACAGACCTTTCCCAACAGGAAAGCCCCATGTGCTGCCATTGTTCAGTGAGTGTCTGGGCCACATGTGCACACAGCACTGAGAATGGAAGCCAGCGCCTGCCAAACCACAGGGAGGAGAGAGGGCCAGCCCGCAGCCTCAAAAAGACAAACACCAGGTAAATCTACAAGCTGGCCCATAGCCACAGGGGTTCATGGAGCTAATCGGTTCAGCCTGTCAAAATGCCCCATAGTCACCTGTGACAGAATGAGAACCTTATTTTGTTCTGTAAGTTTAGGGCACGCAACAGGAAGAGGGTCCCACCCCTATGGAGCTCGGGATCCTGTGAGAAAGGGTAGTAGTTCTAAGAGGGCCTTGGGGACCAGGGTAAAGTGGAGGCTTTCTGTTTCATGGCTTCAGGGTCAGGAATGATTGACTTAGCAGATAGATCTCACTGCACGCCAAAGAGGGAACTGACTACCCAGTTTCCACACTTGTGGGGTGCTGTGCAGCGCACTGAGATGGATACATACATGTGCTCCCCCTCACTTAGGGGGTGCTCTAGCCCCCGTCTGTCCCAAGTGCTGAAGATAAAGTTACTGTTCCACAGAACAGAGAGAGAAGTGCTCAAGACTTCAGAGCCCAAGACGTGCTTCTGGAACCCATGCAACCCCACCATTCATTCTACAAATGGCATCTGCTTAAAGCCTTCTAGAAGCAGGGGGCTCACTACTGTTATCAAACGTCTTTGGAGATCGGACACCTTCTGGTAAATATTGGGACCAGGCAAATTGTCTTCATGGCTCTCGAGTCAATTCTCAGGTGTTGGCTGGCATCTGGCCCTGAGCAGTGTAGTCACGGCACAGTCCCAGGCTTGTCTACTTTAGCTAGCAAGTGTTTTCTCTCTGACTCTAAGGGGCAGCGAAACCAGCTGTATACGGTCACTGTCCCTTTTGGATAATCCAGAATAGAACAACTGCTTCCATGGACCACTGATGTGGCACAGTCCCGAGGCTCACCTTTAGCCGCTAGAGAGCTAGTGAGTGGGTTGGGGAGCTTCACCACACACTGGCCCACACTCCCTGCACTGTGAAGCTGCCTCATGGATCCCCTATGGACAGCCCAACCAATGCTCAGCACTCACCTTGAGTGCTATACCTCTCCATCCATCCATGTGGGGGAGTTTGGTCTGGATGTCCCACAGCCCTGGAGTCTCCACATCTGACCTCTGCCCGTCTCCACATCCCTACCAAATGCTTCTCCCTCCTGTACTCTACGTCTGGACATATGGTGCTACTGCCCACACTGGCACGGGGAGGGCAGACACCAATGAGTCTTCTCCACCTTGTGCTTCATCTAACTGCTGGGCAGCCTTTAGACTCTAGTCATCCCCAGTGCCTCTGTCCCAGGCCTCCCTGCTCTCCACATTGCCCTTGCTCCCTAGGCTCCAGGCTCTCCACGACTCAGCCACTTCCCTTGTTGCTGTCAAAAGGATCTGGCTGACACTGAGCGCTACTGTATCCTTCCCTGACTTGGCATTCTGACTGGGGAACTACATCAGTCACAAGCTGAAGGCTCAAGTCTTCAGTGCTGGTTGCCAGAACACCTCTATCTGGCTCTACCTGTCTCTAGCATCTCCTGGCATGAGCTTCTTACTGAGGATGTGGGAACCAGACGACCAGGCCCGGTCAGATGCTTGCGCTTTCAGGGAAAATAAGTAATGCACCTGTTACGTGACTGTAAACAGGGACTCCACAGAGGGTTCTTTCCCTCCAAAGGAAGCATGATGGGATGTGTGTGACTGACACAGGGACTCCCAGATGCCCTGCACTTCTTTGTGTATCATACTTTTGAACCAAAGGGGAAAAAAAGCCAGGCAGTGGTGGCGCACGCCTTTAATCCCAGCACTCGGGAGGCAGAGGCAGGCGGATCTCTGTGAGTTCGAGGCCGGGCTGGACCGACAGCCTCCAAAACAATACAGAGAAACCCTGTCTCATAAAACCAAAAAAAAAAAAAAAAGGGGGGGACCTGAAGCCAATTAATAAACGAAACAATCAAAATGAAATTCTAGGAACTGTGTAAGCTACCAGAGACTAATTTTTCTGTCTACTATCAGATTTCACCGAGATTCCCTCATTCAGAGGCAAACCCATAGTCTACACCAACCGGCCTCTTCCATGGTTCTTATACAGTTATGTGGGGATACGCCTATTCTGGGTCTAATGCTGTTGTCCCTTCTTGGGGAGTCCCACAACACAGTAACTATAGCAACTATGCGGGCAGAAAATTTATTTTTTCTCTCATGTTTTCAAAGGGAATAGTCTACTACCCTCCCTATTTATAGCTCTCTGCTTTTTTGCATGTTCAAGGATAAGGTTACATGATGAGGTTCTGCTGTTTCATAGATTCACTCAACAAATAAACTCAAATCACACTTTTCGTCGGGGACCCGAGCAAGCGTTGGATTACCTAGCAAATATTTGGATAGCTGAGTCTGTGGCTCAGGAGGTGGCCTAAACTGAAGACAAAACACTGGGAAACTGGGGCGGGAGGCTGTCACCAGCAGATAGACAGATGGCGTTAGGGGCTGTGAAATATTCACCTCTGGTATTAGCTCCCCCCGGCCCCCACCTCAGACCTGCCACATCATGGCCGTTAGCTCCATCTGGTCAACCATCACCTTCATGACCTCCACCTCTGTCACCTCCTCCAACCACACCTGCACCGCCACCGCCACTTCCATCCCCTCCCCCACCTCCCACCATGCTTTTCTTCTCCAACTGCAGTCTTGCAAAACAGGATGTTTTGTGGCCACTAGGGGGAGGCAGCAGCAACAGCTGTGGCTTAGTATTGATCGCGTGTCCAGATGGGAATTTTCTGACTCTGGGCAGAATTTGCTAATGCATTCTATCAGGAAAACGGAAGGATTTTTATCTTTTTGTCTTTTGGAGCTGTTGCACTTTGCTTTTTGATGGGGAAGACCTATGTGCTACAGCAGTGTGGGAAACAGACATCAGCGGACCTGAGCTTTTCACTTACGGGTTTCCCAGAATAATGTCAGATTTTCATCCCCCTCCAAAATGCTTCACATGTATTGTTTCATTGTAAGTGTTTCGCTGGTCTGTTTTACATCAGCAGTCGGGCTATATTATGGTGATGCCTCCTTATGAGCCACAAACGCAGCACCTGACGGCTGCCGGTCCATGAGTAGCGACAGGATTCACCAGCCTATTACTATCCACAGAAGAAGGTGACAGAGGGTGGGCATGACACTTTGTGAAGGCCTGTTGTGCTTGTGGGGTTCTGCTCACAGGGTCCCTGCTCCTCATTCAGAGGTCAGCCCAGCAGCCCACTTACCCGGGGAGACATGGGCCACACTCAGCGTCGTTTTCCATGTCTCCTGGTGTCAGCACAGTGGCCCTGAAGAAGCCCTCACAGTCCTTGTGGCGCCTGCATATCTGGTAACCTCCTTTGGAAAACTTCTCTGCAGGGCAGGGCACACAGCCATAGTCGTCATCTTTGGTGCCGTATCCACAGGACTGGCAGGGGATATGAGAATACAGCAAGTGACTACAGAGGCCTGCACGGTGGCATGCTATTTCCACCCTCGGCTGTCCATCCTATAACAATTGCAAAGTCCTGGCTTCTCTGGTTCTTTCTCTAAGTTTGCTCCTCTCTATCATTCAATAGTGACAGCCTCTAGCCTCAGAGGAGGTCATTTAAGTAGGTCCACTGGCTTCTCAGAGTGCCTCACTTGAGGACCAGTCTGGGAACCTGAGTTTTCTCAGAACTCTGCAAGAACCCCAGACACTGTTGTCACAGACATTCCTCTGATGCTCCAAAGAGCGTGTGCGCTTAGCCTTTCCACAGAAGGGGAACCCAGCACGCAGAATTGATTCACTGTTCCTGGAGAGCATTTCCATCTACTTCTAATTCAGACTGTCAGCCCAACACGGCAGGGCGGGGCACTTTCTCAAGAATTTAGAATGCCCAAGAAATATGATGGTGAGTGCACAGCTGGAGAGAGTGCACAGCTGGAGAGTGCACAGCTGGAGCGAGAGTGCACAGCTGGAGAGTGCACAGCTGGAGCGAGAGTACACAGCTGGAGAGTGCAAAGCTGGAGAGTGCAAAGCTGGAGAGTGCAAAGCTGGAGAGTGCAAAGCTGGAGAGTGCACAGCTGGAGAGTGCACAGCTGGAGAGAGTACACAGCTGGAGAGTGCACAGCTGGAGAGTGCACAGCTGGAGCGAGAGTACACAGCTGGAGAGTGCAAAGCTGGAGAGTGCAAAGCTGGAGAGTGCAAAGCTGGAGAGTGCAAAGCTGGAGAGTGCACAGCTGGAGAGTGCACAGCTGGAGAGAGTACACAGCTGGAGAGTGCACAGCTGGAGAGTGCACAGCTGGAGAGTGCACAGCTGGAGAGTGCAAAGCTGGAGAGTGCACAGCTGGAGAGTGCACAGCTGGAGAGTGCAAAGCTGGAGAGTGCACAGCTGGAGAGTGCACAGCTGGAGAGTGCACAGCTGGAGAGTGCACAGCTGGAGAGTGCACAGCTGGAGAGTGCACAGCTGGAGAGTGCAAAGCTGGAGAGTGCACAGCTGGAGAGTGCAAAGCTGGAGAGTGCACAGCTGGAGAGTGCACAGCTAGAGAGTGCACAGCTGGAGAGTGCACAGCTGGAGAGTGCACAGCTGGAGAGTGCACAGCTGGAGAGTGCACAGCTGGAGAGAGTGCACAGCTGGAGAGAGTGCACAGCTGGAGAGTGCACAGCTGGAGAGTGCACAGCTGGAGAGTGCACAGCTGGAGAGTGCACAGCTGGAGAGTGCACAGCTGGAGAGTGCACAGCTGGAGAGAGTGCACAGCTGGAGAGTGCACAGCTGGAGAGAGTGCACAGCTGGAGAGTGCACAGCTGGAGAGTGCACAGCTGGAGAGTGCACAGCTGGAGAGTGCACAGCTGGAGAGAGTGCACAGCTGGAGAGTGCACAGCTGGAGAGTACACAGCTGGAGAGTGCACAGCTGGAGAGTGCAAAGCTGGAGAGTGCAAAGCTGGAGAGTGCAAAGCTGGAGAGTACACAGCTGGAGAGTGCACAGCTGGAGAGTGCACAGCTGGAGAGTCCACAGCTGGAGAGTCCACAGCTGGAGAGTACTCAGCCAGTCAGTGCACTGGGCTCTGTAGCTTATACCACTCAGCCCTGGTGAATGTACCTTGGTGACCTTTTGGTCCTCAGAGACAGTTTAGGATGATGGTACCATGAGCATACCCTCACCTCCCCAGAGGTCAGGGACACAGGCTGGTCCTTACTTACCATGTAGGGCTCCTCCCCTGGTCTGCAGGGAGGACACTGGTGACACAGCCCAGTAGTCTGGTTGTGGTACTCATTCTCGCCACAGCTGGAGTCCTCTGCCTTAGCTGAGCACATCAGAGACACCTGTCACAGAAAGGGTGCTTAACCTCCACACCTCCTCAAGACACAGTTACATGGGGACAGTCCCCAGTGAGCCCACGGTTGGCCACCCCTCTACCCCAATCCTCAGTCATCCTTAGAACCACTTCTTCCTGACTCCACTGTCCAAACTTATCCTCTTCCCACACCCATTCTAAGCCTTGGGTTCTCTTAAGCTCATGAGGGAGGCACCCCCTTTCTTGAGTCTGTAGACATCTATGTACTACAGGGGCTGGTCCTTCCGTCTCATGGTGTCCCAAACCCCACCACCAGGCAGGACTCACAGAAACTTTCTGATCTTTTTAGCCGTGGGCCCATTACACAGGCTAACACATCACTGATAAGCACCGAGAGACATTTCTACCTACAAGCCCCATGAAGAGAGTACCAGATAAACGGTCCAATTAGAACTGGGGGTACTGTAGTTCTCATTCCCGCCTGACAGCCGGGTGTAGGAGGCTGTAGGAGTTCTGAAGCTGGGTGAAGGAGGCTAAGGGCAGTCTGAAGTGGTACAGCTGGTGAAGGTTGTGGCCTGAGGGAAGGACCCTGCTCTGCAGGTGCTGAAGTAAGTGTACAGTGGAGAGGCACTCAGAACAACTTACCACCAGCACCGGGAGCCAGGACACCCACTTGCAGTCTCCCATGTAGGCCATGATCTCCTGGAAGTTTACCTGTAAGACATACTGCATCAGTATCAGGTGGCCCAGCTGCCTTCACCTTCATTGTTTCTCAATGGATGAAGGTTACTTCCAGCAGCCAGCATGGGAATAGCACACCCCAAAGAGTAGAGTCTATTCTTTCTAGGTCTGTGGATCACAACCCCACTGGGGGTCAAATATCAAATATCCTACATAATAGATATTTACATTATGAGTCATAACAGTAGCAAAATTACAGTTATGAAGTAGCAACTAAATAATTTTGGGGGTCACCATAACATGAGGAACTGTATAAAAGGGTCACAGCATTAGGAAGATTGAGGACCACTTAATAGACAGACAGTAAGCTAAGATTCAGGCTGATGACCCTGAAGGCAGCTCACATACCCTCTCCAGCATGATACGATGCCTTAGGAAGAACCCTCAGAGGGAAGGCTGAACAAATGGGGCCTGCTCTTAAGCTGGGAGCTGGGGGTCAGTGTTTACCATGCTCTTCAGTTTGAAGAGTCGTCTTGTGCAAACTTTAGCTATGTGGTACCCTGGGCTGGTCCTGCCTGGTGAGATACCATTGCTCTCAGAGCCCCCTGGAAGGGTCTGCCCTTTCTTTGGGAAGTCATTAGAAGGGAAGAGTGAGATGATGTAGTTCAGCCCACCTCATTTTATAATTGAAACAATGATGAGCAGAGGTTAAGTGACTGTCCGAGGTCATACAAGTATTTCATGTATAGAGGATGACATAGTGCAGGAATTCACATACTTTCACCAGCTACTACATTAGTACACGGCTCTGCCATAGTGTTATCCTATGAAATGGGACTTGTGTTTTACCTGGAGCATAAGTATTAATCACCCTACATGTTAACATGCTAGATTCCCCAGGTGCCACCTATGGCCACCAGGCTGTCACTGGGGGGGGGGCGTAAATTAATGACAAACAGCACACTCTCTGATAGATAGAGAATACAAGGAACCTTCTAGAATCCACTGCTGACTTAAGCCTCAAATCAAACTAAACCCTCAGGAACCCCCTAGATCTTTTATCCCGAATTCTCTCCTCCTTATGGTTGCTCATGGGAACCAGTAATTTTCAGTAGTGCACAAGAGAATGCTGGGTACGGAGGCTCAAGGTGTCTGGAAACCACCTCCTCCCTCTGACCCTCCACCCTCTCCTCTTTCCTCTTCCTTGTAGGAACTTGGCCCGACAATATCCTAAAGACACCGAGAAAAGTAGCCGAAGGACTGTTCGTGTGTTGAAAATAAGTGTGAGAAGGCTGCACCAGTCGGGCAGGGCCAGGGAGGCCTTGAGCATTCGAATGTTCGAAATCTACTTTCTGGTCCCAGCAGGTTTAAGGTCCTGCTCAGTCTGGGTTCTAGAATTAGGGTGCACATTTAGGAGAGAAAGATGTAAGCAGGCAGAGATGAGGCAGGCAGGGTCCATATGTGATGAACTTGGAACTTAACAGTTTTCAGGACACATTTCCTTCCTGAGCAGCTCTGGCCAGTCTCCTGCCTCCTCCCCATGGAGCAGTAAGTGGCCACACTCCTGTTTAAGAGAGTGGCTGGGATCCAAGTAGGGCTCTGAGATGTCACTCTTATTTATAACCACAATAAACAAGCACCATAATTCTGGGCTGGGGGTGTAACTCAGTGGTTAAGTACCCCCACAACACACACACATACACACACACACACAGAGTTTTGTGTGTGTGTGTGTGTGTGTGTGTGAGAGAGAGAGAGAGAGAGAGAGAGAGAGAGAGAGAGAGAGAGAGGCCCTGCACCCCCACCACTGCACCTGTGAGGCCCTGGGTTTGGCCCCCTAGCACTAGGACAAGAATATAGGTGCTTCAGTTCCATGGAGCACCACACAGGGCTCAACAGTTACGTGACAAGGACTTCATACAGAAGACCTCCCTGGTTCCACAGACTAGGACACTGTCTGTATGCACAAGAGTGGGGTCTGAGTGACACCCTAGCTGTACAGCAGAGCTTGTTTTGGGCGGGAAGTAAAAGAGTATAGAGGCAGGGGCCAATGATTAGAGAGGATGGTTGTGTTCTATTCTGTGAACCTTGTAATGGGAGCTATTTCACTCTAAGAGCTGTCTGAAGATGGGCATGCTGCAAGAGTCTGGGAAGACCCAACCAGGGTCACTGGCAAGGCCTTGAGGGACAAGGTCCAGGTCTTCTATGAGCTCAGGCACCTCAAGGTTGCCCTCACACATCGCTGTGTGAGGGTGGCCTGCCAGAAATGGCCAGGCTTCCAGACTCCTTCGCACCTCAGTACTGTAACGCAAGATGAAAGTGCCCAGGTTGCCCTCAATTGTGAACTTGTTGGGTGTTTTCCTTCTGGCAAGGAACAAGCTGGGGCTGGCAGCAGGAGAGGCAGGGGGACCCAGCTTAGAGGCTGAGAGGATGGCTACAGCCCTAATGGGTGTGGAGGGGTTGAGGCAGAAGAGGTCAGAAAGGGGCCGCCATCCTCACACGCACTCCTGCCTTAGGTCCACAGCTCTGACCTTACTTCAGGACACTGGGTTTAGTGGGGATGAGTTTCCATCGTGACTGTGGATAGGGCCAGAAGCTCTGGGTACTGGAGGCTTTCCAAGAGGCATATGAATGGTTTCTAATTTAATTGATGTCTAATTATAGCAGATTCCTAGGAGCTTCCCTGAAACACGGGAAAGCGCAGGGCCTGCACACTTTGGTGTCAGCCTACGGCATTTATTGGGAGGCTCATTAAAGATGTGCCCAATAAAACTAGGGTCAAAAGGAAAACAAATAGACAAAGGTAAACAAGAAGCTAGCAGCATCTTTAGTGCTTTGCCCACTTACCCTGAAAGGGTGTAAGGTCTGGGTGGGAAGGATAGCCCTGTGGTCAGTGCTCTCCTGAACATCAAGAGTGCAGATGGAGGTCAGCCCAGCTGAGAGGAAATGGGGCTCAGCTGCTCCCAGCTGTGAGCTCCCATCACTCTGGGGAGACCCAGTTTCCCACACCGTCAGAGGTGCAAGGGCTAGGAGTTGAGAAAGCTGCCTTCAACCCATGACTGAGTTGGTAACGGTAGTCACATCCCCTCCCATCTGCCTGCAAGCAATGCTGATGCTTAACTTGTATAATTAGCCAGCCAGTCAATGACCCAGGCCAGGGCCCTGTAAACTGTAGCTACTGGTAAATCACCCGGTCCCCGTTAGGCTGTCAGCATAGCCCATTGTATTTCAGCAGCACTTGCCTGTTATATGATGTCTGGAACATTGACCCTGGGTCCAGGCAGACCACATGAGCCCTGTCTGCTGTCAGCCCTGGACAGGAAGTGCTGGTACTGTCTCATGAGCGCCTCAACTTCCTTCCCACCCCCTCTACTCTGCTTTCTGCCATTCCCACCTCCACGCAATCTCTACCCGGCGTGTCAACATGGCCAACTGCAGTAAGGCCAGCGTGTGATCCAGTACAACGAACCCCAGGCTTCATTTTTATCACCTCCACTCGAGGTGGGCTCAATTCTTATCTTCGTTCTGTAAGTCAGGAAATGGACGTGCCAAGGGGCTAAGTAACCTGCCTGAGATATGGCTATCCCTTGTTTCCAGTCCCTACACTTTGTTTATATATAGCCCTGGGCTGGAACAATGGGACCTATTTCATGATTTGTCTCTGTGGCACCCACAGGCTGGGTCTGCACAGCCCTGTCAGAGGAGCCCATGAAAGGTGGGGCAGAAGAGGTCAGGTACCCCTGACCTTGAACTCAGCCCCCCTGTTCTCACCCCTCAGCTTGGCTTGGGAATTTCTGCACATGGCCTCCCTGTGGCTCCTTCCTCTTTGGCTGTCTGTAGCCAATTTTGGATGGTGTGATCTCAGAGAACTTGGGGGTGTTCTCAACACAAATGTGCCTGGGACAAAGTCCTCATGGTTCCTCCAGGGATTCTCGTTTGCCTTTCTTCCCTTTAGCTGGAGGTGGAAAAGCTAAACAAGACACCTCCCGCCTCATCTGCCTAAACCTAGGAACAGCATCGTGGCTGTGCACTGCAGATGCCTGGAACTAAGGACTAAAGTTCATAGTCAACTTAAGGTCCAAACAAATAGTTGGGCTTCTGTCAAGGAACTCTTCCCCCAATGGGGCCTAAATTCCACTGACAAGCAGTAGCTAAAATGCTATGTGCCTGGCGGGGGGCAGGAAGGTTCAGGTGGTACTTGAGATATTTGTGGTTCATCAAGCTGGGGTCCACAGTGAAGACTGGTCAGCTCTGGTGTGTTAACCATATTTCTGAAGTGTTCCACCTTGACCACACTCTGGGCTACAGTATTACCCTCCGGGCAGTACTTCAGGGGTCAGGTGGTCATTTACAGTTTGGAGACCAGAGGTCCATGATGAGGCTGCAGTAGGGAGGCCCTGTTGGTTCACAGGGTACGTTCCTTCCTTCAGTGCCATTCCTGATGCTGGGCAGGGATGCCTGAGAACTCTTGGGGGACGAGCTGGGAAAAGGCACAGACTTAGCTCGCAACAGCTGGTGCCCTGCCCATCCTCAGAGGCCCATGTCCTGTTCCTGTGGAGAGTGCGACAGGTGGAGACCTACCTAAGTCTTGCAGGGGCACTTACAGAGGCATCTTAAAAGGCTCAGTGTGAGGGATTGGGGTGTGTGTGTGTTGGGGGGGGGTCTCTCAGGAGCCACAGGCTAAAAATCTGAGTGTGACTTAGGTGAAGTCAGGAGGGTGCAGCAGGCTTGTGCAAGGTATCTCTCTGTCAGTGACGTTGGCTTCACCGTGAAGAAACGGTTTCGAGGAAGAAAAGTCTGAGTGATCTCCTGGGAGCACGGTGCATGGTGGGAGGAGGAACGTAATGTTTAGCTAAGGCTTACGCCCCCCAAGAACACAGAAAGAGAGACTCTGCCGGGTCCCTCTCTCTGCTAAAGTCTGCAGCCAACAGCATCTCTCATCTATATTCTGCAGCTTCCTTAGTTTTGCTCCCCCACACTTGAATCCACCCATGTTTCGGTACAGCTGCCATGAAAGCGTGCACGCAGCTGTC